ATGTGACTTTAAACCTTAGAAGTTGCATATTATTTACTTGCCATTTTCCTATAATGTTTGCAAAATTGTTCATGACATCATCTTGTGTATTGTAATTACATCAACTAATTGTGAGACTGAACATATTTACATCAATTATGTAATGAGTTACAATAAAGCTTGTTAAGCTAAGTATATAATTAGATGATAATCAAATCAAAATTTCTTTTTTTAAAATTGTGGAATTTCACATGCCAAAATAATCTTAACATACAGAATATTATATTTATATGCATGACATTTGAGACTGTGCATGCATGCAAAACAAGTACACATTCATATGCACACTCTCTCACACACACATACAATGACACACACAGAGGCAAATAAATTTACATTATAAACCATAAAATCATTTCTATTCCTTAATGAATGTAGTGAATTAAATGCATAAGATACAAACATTTTAGATTTCAGCCTTTAATTTCTTTTATTCATCCAACAAATTAAAATGATTTACCAGCACCTCTTCTCTTCACAAGTGAATAGGTTATCCTTGCATATTACCTTACGGAATTATTGTTTCTGTGGCCTCTATAGTTTCACTCCCTTTGGAACCTTGACTTTCAGCTATAGAAAGGAATCATCATCTAATCATCATCCTCTAGAAAAGATTGTTAATCACTGGGCAGTTCAACCATAGAGAAATCAGATGTGGAAACTTGTCTCTGATCTCTAATGTGCCCGTTGTACTCCTATGTTCTGCATATAAGTTAACTGAGATACAGGTCTTCCCACCATAGTAATAACTGGGTCATCCTTCATGTTAGAGTCACAATTATTTCAGAGTAGCAAGAATTTTCTAAGTCTTAAAATAGCACTTCAACCCGAACACTAACCGGGTCTATTGTGACAGTATCCTAAAAGATAAGACTTGATTCGAAGATAAGGAAGATAGGAAATTTGGAGTCAAGAAGTCATGAACAAGCAAGTTTATGAAGAACAGCATCTGATACAGTTTTCAAATGGGGCGGGGTGGGTAAAGTCACCAAAAAGCCATCACACAATGGGACAGTATCAGAAGGAAGATAATGAAGCAGTGTTGTACAAGGGTAAGCCTGTTCAAGTGATTGACAGACCAAGCACATAGAAGCCTTGGGACTGATAATCCCATGTAATAAACCATAGAGAGGAGTGAACGGATTTTTTTTAGGGTATGACACAATGAGATGAAACAGAGATAATATGTCTTTACTTATGAAAGCAACATCAAATGATCCATATGATTTAGCATGGAGATAGAATGAATCTGATTTCATATTTGAAAATGGGCAGTCAGCAAGCATGATGGCACATACCTGACAGGAAACTTTTATCATGAGAAATGCTTAAGGCAAGCTTAGGCTGTATAGCTAGACTCTCTCTCCTCTCTTGATACATTTGTAGATTAGATAGACAGATAGACAGACAGACAGACAGACAGACAGACAGTCAAAGACAGATAGATAGAGAGGTAGATACATGCATGGATGGATAAATGGAGGATGGATGGATGCATGTTATATAACAGGCAATAGATATAGCTATGAGATTTTAAAAAGTGAACAACTTTATAAGATGACAGTCAGTCAGTTAGCTTGGTTGGTTTCTTATCTCATAATATAAAGGTGGATGAAAACATTATATACCTTAAATACATAAAATTGCTATTTCTCAATTATTTGTCAGTAATTCAAAGAAAATGGTGAAAATGTTGTTTATTTACCTCCATACCTCCTCTAAATCTGCTGAGCACATTTAAGAGTTTGTCAACTGAATGTATGGTTACAGGATTACAATTAAAAATAAACAAAGAAGGATAATTTGGGATGGAACATGTTTAAGTGCCAATGAAAGAGCTAGTTAAAGGAGATTCTGTACATATGATGCATATGTGACCCTTTAATACAGGTCCTCATGCTGTAGTGACCCCAACCATAAAATTATCCTCATTGCTATTTCATAACTGTAATTTTGCTACTTTTATGAATCTTGATGTAAATATCTGTGTGTTCCAATAGTCTTTAGGGGTTGCAGCCCACAGGTAGAGAACTGCTGCTTTGGAAGAATGCATTTCAAGTTCATTTGCAGATATGTTAAGGTTCTGTGTGAGTGAAGTATCAAAAGCACATGTTGAAGCAAAATTCTGGACGATGGGAGACAAGTATCTGCCCAGAGCTGAGGGGAGTTTCTAAATAGGGAGACTGGGAGAAAAACTGAGCTTTCAGTAGAAACTCGGAAACACAGCACTCTAGCTACGGAACCTGAACAAAGTGAGGGGAAAAAGTGGGACTAGAGGCCCGCCTGACAGTTACCTGTTTCCAGGAGTAAAATGTGGTACATTTACACATTTCAGCCATTAAAAACAATGGCTTTATGAAATTCTTAGGCAAATGGATGGAATTAGAAAATACCATCCTGAATGAGGTAACCCAGTCTCAAAAGAACACACATGGTATCCACTCACTGATAAGTAAATATTAGCCTAAAAGCTTGGAATACCCAAGATACAATTCACTGACCACATGAAGCTCAAGGAGAAGGAAGACCAAAGTGTGGATGCTTCAGTCCTTAGAAGGAGGAACAAAATACTCACAGGAGGAAATACAGAGACAAAGTGTGGAGCAGAGATTGAAGGAAAGACCATCCAGAGACTGCCCCACCTGGAGATCTATCTCATATACAGACATCAAATCCAGACACTATTGCGGATGTCATGAAGTGCTTGCTGACAGGAGCCTGATATAGCTGTCTCCTGAGAGGCTCTGCCAGAGCCTGACAAACACAGAGGTGGATGCTCACAGCCAACCATTGGACTGAGCATGGGGTCCCCAGTGGAAGAGTTAGAGAAAGGACTGAAGGAGCTGAAGGGGTTTGCAACCCGTGGGAAGAACAACAATATCAATTAGACCATACAGAGCTCCCAGGAACTAAACCACCAATCAAAGAGTACACATGGAGGGACCCATGGCTCCAGCTGCATATGTACCAGAGGATGGCTTTGTTGGACATCAAAGGGAGAAGAGGCCCTTTGTCCTGGGCAGGCTTGATGCCCCTATGTAGGAGAATGCCCGGGCAGAGAGGTGGGTGTGGGTAGGTAGGAAGGTAGGTAGGTAGGTGAGTGAGCATCCTTAAAAAACAGGGGGAGGCAGGATGGGTTAGGAGGTTCCCCAAGGGGAAGCCAGGAACAAGGGACATGTACCTTTGAAATGTAAATTTATTAAAATACCCAATAAAATAAAATTAAAATTAAAAAGTTAAAAAAATCATAATCACTAAATGTCCGAGGGAAAAGAGCTAAGAGCTGGTGATGTAGCTGAGCAGATAAAGGCATTTACTGTGAAGCCTGATCATCTGAGTTTGAGCCCCAGGCCTTTCATGGTGGAAGGAGAGAACCAGATTGCTGCAAGCTCTTCTATGACCTGCATGTACACACAGCCACATATGTAACTGCCCATAAATGCACACACATGTGCATGTGTGTGTACATGTACACACACACACTAGAAACAAATACATTTTTTTAAAATAACCTGAGTTAACTATTTCAAGTGTAAAGGTTTTTTGGTTTTTTTTTGTTTTTTCCAGATAGCTAAACACAGTTTTCAAGGCATTTTATGTTTGATGCATGATAGCCGTGCCACAAGTGAACATGGTTAACTACATTATAAAACCATATTGATTTCCCTATATGTTTGCACAGGATCTTTGTTCTTTCAAAATGCAGAGCAAAGTCTTTCCTAAAACAAAGCAAACAATAATTCACATGATGTAGCAGGGAGACTGATCAGGTTTTTACATTTTTAGAAAACTGAAAGTACGGCATTTATGTGAGGTGATAGGAGTCTTCTTTGGCTTAAATGTAGTGATTATTTCACAATATCAATCATAAAATAGAATTTTGCTTATTTAGACTGAGGAAAACGTCATCTATGTCAATGGTTTAACATTGAAATTTGTCACGGTCACTGTTGTGGATTTCCATGTCATATGGATACAGCTGTTTCTATATAAGAGCCTTGCTTTGCTTTCTGTATTAAGAACTTCAGTTCATACTTGCATATTGGATGTATGGTGATTTTAAGAATTAAATGATGTTATTTAAGAAAAAAGAGTGGGAGTAAACACATTGACCTTCACAACTGAATATATGAAATAGGAAAAATAAGATTTTGAAAGTTCTTCCAGATAGGATGCCATTTAGAGCTATTTGTCATGAAAAATACATTCCTTAACAGAGTAACTATTTTGAGAGGAGCAGGAAGTCATTTCCACTCCGGGTGTTGCTTGTCTTCACACTTGTACCAATGTCATCCAACGCTTCCCCAGTCTGTCCCTACACAGCAGGAATGTCTAGGTTATAATGACCACTTCTGAGTTAGTACTGTCTGCAATGTTCCACATTCACACGGGAGCACTAACCCTAATCTACTGTGTTAAAACAGCAAGAACAGTAACAGTCAAGAAACATCACGAAACCTCCTCCAGTCAGCATTCAGTCTGTTCTCTGCCATTATTAACACTATATCAAATATTTATGTATCTCAGTAAAATGATCTATCATTAGATGTCCTCTAATTTGCTGTAAAACCAGTGTTTCATGTGTTGGGTCGTCTTCAGAAGCCCGTTTTACAGTAGTGTTTCCTGTTGAAGCCTGCACTAGACTGTGGTGATTGTCGAATAACCTCTATTATTAAGTGTACTGTTCAGAGCGTTGCATAATAATTTGCATAACTAGTGCCAGAAGTAGGCTTTCCTCCCCCAGGAAGCAAGATTGCAAAGAAAATATTATGAATTTTCATTGTTGTCTGTTAGTTTTTAGCTCTAAGATTATTCCAGTATTATGGTTAAGTGGAAGTTTCTTTTTCACGTTTAGGACAAATTCTTCTAAGAATATGATTTAATGCATTGCAATGCTATAAGTCATTTCATTCCTTCTGGTTAGCAGTGACCTGTGCTAATGACCTCTTCTCCAATTTCAGGGGGAAACAAAGATCTTAAAGCTGAAGAATCTCCGACCTCAGGATTATGCTAACTACAGCTGCATTGCTTCAGTGAGGAACGTATGTAACATTCCAGACAAGATGGTGTCTTTTAGACTTTCCAATAAAACCGGTATGGACCTATCACTGTATTCTATATTTGTTTTTTTCACAACTATTTTATAGAAAACTTTTCAGCCTTCTTACAGGCCAGTAGATAGCTACATATACAGTACAGAAGGAAGGCATCTTTTATCCAAGAAATGTTTGGCATATTTCTAAAGCTTTTAACAAAGCAATAAGGGGAAAATAGCTGAAAGAGACTCTGTATTATTATGTGTGAATTATAGAGAATTCTATTGTCTTAAAATACTTTAGTCATAAATTTTTACAAATCACCCTATATATCATTGAAAGAGATTTTGAGGATTATTGGATTCTTTATATAAAAATTTATCATCTAATTTGCTGAAATGGATTATGGTTGCAAAGCAAAGTAAGACTCTTTTACAATGCTATTTTTCAAATAAAAAAATGTAATGGGTAAGCTCAAATAGTTTTTACCAAGATGGTACTTTTGTACAAGAAAGAATTAATGCGTTGATATGCCTGAAACATTTAGAACACACATTATTTCTTCCCCAGCAGATAGCTACTCAGCAAATTCCAACCAGAGTGTTTAATGAAAGCATTAGAGTTAAGATTTTATAAAAATGTTTTCCAAAGTACATTTCTACTTTGGTATTTTTTCTTGTTCCAACAAGTTGCTAAAATTTTAAATGCCTATTTTGTTATTTTTTTGCTCATTCATTAATTCATCTATTCTGTAATAATTTCTTGATCTCCTTCTCTGAGTCAGAGTTTATATTTGTAGGTATATATAGGCCAATGGCCTTACAGTAGGAAGTATTGCAATAAGGACGCGGTGAAAGTCTGTAGAAGCAAACATAAAAATAATATGTAAAGGAAAATACAGCTTTACTAATTAAGATGTAAAACACTTCATGGATTATATGCTTCAGAAAAATAAAGAGAAATATAAAATCCTAATGTTTGTAAAACATATAAGTTAATGACTTCATGCCATTTTTAAAGAAAGAAAATAGCATATTATAAAAGACTATGTTACTAACTGTAATATATTGTTTTTGTCCTGAAATATACAGTAAATTATTCAAACTTTGTATATATTTTATTTAAATTCTATTTTTTTCTAAAACTAGCATACAAGGTATTGCTATTTGTACCATATTTTTGAACAATGTATGTTTTAGTGAGTCTCCTTCTCTTTAACCTAGCTTTTATATTTTTAAAGGCTATTTATCCATTTATGTCTGTGTTGGAGATTGAGTGAGTGTGAGTGTATGTGTGCCTTGCACATATAAAGGCTGGAGGAAAGCTTTGCTGGAGGAAATCTGTTCTCTTCTTCCACCTTGCTTTAGGACAATCTCTCTTTTTTCAGTTGTTGCACTGCAAATATTTAATTCTGGTCAATTCTCTGTATCTGCTTTCTGTCTTGTTGTAAGAGTGCCGGTGGCATGGGTGGCACGTGAGAATAAACCATACCCTCCATCAAGTGTGTGTGTGTGTGTGTGTGTGTGTGTGTGTGTGTGTGTGTGTGTGTGTGTTAGAAGCCAGATGATCAAATGGAGGAAAAAAAGTAAATGGATCAATTTCCTAGTAGATGGGTAAAGATAGTACAGTTGAGTGAAAAAGAACGAGGTAGTAAGTTTACCACTTACATTTGGCCTTACATTTCTCACATTTGAACAGTTATTAGTTCTTAGTTGTTCTCTGCTTTTTTTTTTTTTATCACTGTTGAGGCAGAAGCCAACTGTGGCTTCATTTTTATATGTTTGTTTTTATATTGTCTTTTTATATGGTTTGACATATAGTAAATAGTATCATGTTGATTAAAATATATTCCTTTAGCTTAATCCGAGACTGAAGAGTGTCAGTGAAAACAAAAGCTGTTTGAAGACCAAAACTTCACAAATAAAACATAGCATTTTATATTGTGGTGATCTATAGTTTTTACTGTTGCATGTGTTGGAGAAGACTGATTGGCTCTCAAATCTGAAGTTATTTTAAATAGATGAGTGACCAGCACTTTAGTTTTGTTTTGGAGCTAATGAAAGGAAATTATAGCTGAAAGCACAGTGTTTTATTAGATTATAAATAAAGACATCTTATTTCATTAGCAATATTAGAATAAAAACTGGCAGATTTCCTAAAGCCTGTTAAAGAAGCTGGCTCCTTTTGTTGCTAGGATGACTTTTAATGAGAAAGCTACCTTTTTTGCAGAGGGCACAATTGTGCTATCTTACAAACATTCTGTTAAAATTTTCAACTTTGTGTTCTATTCTTTTGATCCCCGCATTAATGTATGTGACTAAGCAGAAAACAAATGTTTTCCATCTTTGTAGATTATGCATTGGTAAATAGTCTTTTATTGGTATTTATTACAAAATGAGTATTGAAACTGTGGAAGATAAGTTAGATTATGGTGCCTGTTTAAGTCTTCCAACAACTTCAGTCAGATATGCCATTTGCCTAACCTTTGATGCATTCAAATCAGGTATGCTTTGTCTTCTTTCCTATGTGTTTTTGTTCAATGTTGGAAGGGCTTGTGCAGATAGATGGAAGCATAGTAGCTCCCAAAGTGCATCAGGAGTAAATTCAGTGCTGATCATCTTTATTTATGCAAGCAGGTCTGTAAAACGATAGGTGCCTTTAAGCCTAGTTTATTGTTCTTCTGACATGAAAAGGAAGTGCAAATTTCAGGGACATAACCAATGTGTTATCAGGCATTCTGCTAGAAACTGTTGTGGTATATACAAAGTATTAAATCTCTATTTTACAACACTTTGTGGAAGATGTGTACACTATAGAAAGATAAGAATTATATTGTGAATGTTGCAATAAGATTGGTTAATATTCTTTGTAACAAATATGTTTGTAAAAATTGAATTTTGGAGATTATAACTCTAGTAGAGGACAAACAATAGATAAGTGTAATTTACTTTGAATAAACTTGCAGTGAAAATCTCTGTAGTTATTTAAAGTTATTAAGTAGCATCCATCTGAAGGCCTGTTTACAAAATGCCTAAGACACACAGCAAGCTAATATAGAAATACTATCATTGGTGACAGTTCTTCAAAGTTCTTAGAGCAAAGCCATTTCACCTTGACTAGATTGCTGGGTCCATTTTATACCTACTGAAGCAGAGATTTCGTGTGAGACCTAGGAATATAGACACTGGAAAAAATTAAATGATTGCTTTGGATGACAAGATAATGTCTGTATATTCAGAATGTTTTAATAAACTCACTCCTTTCTGTATATATGAGCTTTAGAAATCAAAGAAACCAAGTTGCTAGTGCAGCATCCCTGAATCCTCCGAAATGACAAAGTCATCTACAGATTAAACAACAGTGGGTTATCTTGGCTTTCCCAGAGTGAATTAGCATTGCAGGTCAATTCTATATCAAGCTAAGGAAAGTGCTCAATAATTTTTGATTCTTACTGACAACACTATTAAAATGTGTCTTGTCACAGTAGTGTCAGTGTATATCACATTACATTAGCCAGGTTGTGTTAACCCTATTATACCCATTCACAGCATTTTATATAAAAGTGATAAAGCAACATATTTATCTATCTTCTGTAACACACTGACTGAGTGACTTGTGACCGATCCAGACTTTGATACTTATTGTCCTGTTTTGAAGAAGAATTACATTAGTCTTTTTCTGCTTAAAGTACTGATGCAGTTTTATTTATCACAGCTGATTAAAATAAGTCCACTTAGATTTGTAAATTTACAATCTCAATAAATATGTGTATTTTGAAATGATCATAATTATGGGAGCAAAGTATAAATTATTTAAAATATGTATCTACAACCCATGGGTACATAAGAATTATGATAAATTTTTCATTTATTTTAATGTATTTCAAGCACTTATAGGTTGATGCCTCTTGATTTCAATAGCAAATAGGAATTAAGTAGTTTCCTATATTGGGATGAAAAACATGTTTTGTGCCTGCCGAAGGAGTGATGATGAAGGCTATAAAGAAACAAGACAGGTGGGGCTAATTTTACTTAATTATATAGGTCCCTTGATTTAGTCTACACAGCCGTAGCATTTATAAAAATTACCTAATTAAGATGCTTTCCTTAGATGTGGATTACATGCAGACAGTAATGCATTACGAAAGTGGTGCTGTGTAAACATGTACCTAAGTCGCACACCTCCTCTATCTCTTTCTCATCTGTTTCTTTCTTCTCCTCCTCCTCCCTCAGCTCCTTCTTCTTTGCACCTCCTTACACACCTCTTCCCATATCTGCCTCTCTGTCTCTCTGTCTCTCTCTCTCTCTCTCTCTCATGTTCTTCTTTCTGTCCATCAATTTTCACAGAAGCAAAGGTTTTAAGGAAAACATCTCTTGTGTTTTGGATCTGCCATTATTTTACTTTCTAAAGGGAATATAAAACTTCGTGTGCTCTGCTCTTTTCATGGTAATCTCCTTATGTTTAGCAGAATGAAACCTATGTTTTATAAGAAATAAAATGTTATTTTAGTTGTAGCAATTTGGTAGTCAAAGTTATGAAATCAAATAGAATCTAGGTATGTTATCTTATCAACCAGCATTTGTATTAGAAAGACTGATTTTATGAGATATACCTAGAACAGAATGGAGGGTGTCCTGTACTCGCCTGCGTAGGCTGCATTACTATGATGTCACACACTGGGAGGCAGGAACAACAGAGATATATATTCTCATGATTCTACAGGCTACATATTGCAGGATCAAAGTCCTTTTTTCACAATTTGCTTCTGGTAAGAGCTGCCTTCCTGAGTTACCATCTTGAGGTGGTCACATGATTTTCCTCTACATGGAATGAAGAACCTGTACATTTTATTCCTGTAAAGATATGAGTTCGAGAGTTCAAGGCTAGCCTGGTCTACAGAGTAAGTTCCAAGACAGCCAGGGCTACACACAGAGAAACCCTGTCTCGAAAAAAAACAAAACAAAAAGATATTTATTCTTAGAGCAGTGCCATACTTATTAAATATTAGTTACCTTAGTTTTATTTCTAATAGTTCATTTCAAAATAGAACTTTATTGT